CAAATTTTACTTTATTTTATTTCATTCTATTTTTATTTTACGTGTATGCATGTATTGCCTGCATGTAGGTAAGTGTAGCCGTGTAGTGCAATGCCCACGGAGGTCAGAAGAGGCTGTTGGATCCCCTGAGACTGGAGTTACAGACAGTTGTTAGCTGCCATGGGGTGCTGGGTTTCAAACCTGGATCTTCTGCAAGAACAAGCAGTGTTCTTAACCACTGAGCCATCTCTCCAACCCCTAAAGAGCAAATTTTAAAATGAAAAAAGGGTGAAGCAATGGGTGATGCTGATCTACTCATAAGAAAAGTACACTCACTCCTAAAGGCATTAACCAAAGGAGAGAGGAATCAAAACTGCATTGGGAAGGCTCCAGCAACACTGATGTGAAAAGGATGCTGTCTCCCACCCATAAGCATTTATTAATCTATTTGCTCTGAAGTGGATTCAACAGAGGCCTGAGATCAAACATTTTAATTCAGATGAAAATGCTTCGCACTCAGTTTTGTTTGGGGCATTTGGGGAAATTTAACATCTATGGAGGACACAAAATATGCAAGAATCTGAAGGACTATGAAAGTGCCCCCTACCCGGAATCCCAGCATATGCTCTCAGTTGATCAATGGCAAGCCTGTGGAATCTTCAAAAAGCAGAAAGTCCAAGGAGGTAGCAACAGCAGCTACTCTCTTGCATTTTTCTTCTTTTCACTTTTTCTTTTCTTTTTTTTGATTTTATTTTTTTTCTGTATGTATGACTGTTTGCCTGCATGTATGTGTGCACCACATGTGTGCCTGGTGCCTGCAGAGGCTAGAAGAGGGCGCCAGATCTCCTGGAATCTGGAGTTACAGTCAATTGTGAGTCACCATGTGGGTCTGGGAATAGAATACTGATCCTCTGCAAGAGCAACAAGAGCTCTTAACCATTGAGCCATCTTCCCAGCCTTCTTTTTCCTGTTTTGAAACAGGGTCTCATGTATCCCATGCTGGCCACAAACTCACTATGTAGTCAAGGATGATCATGAACATCTTACCTTCCTGCCTCTACCTCCCAAGTGCTAGAATTACAGATGGACACTACCACAACCTGGTTCATGCAGTGCTGGAGAGCAAACCTAGAGCTTCACTTATGCTTGGCAAGTACTCACCAGCTGAACTACACCCCCAGCCCTTCAATCTCACAAAACTTTCCTCCCATCCCCCAGGAGTTAGGGACCAAACCCAGGGTCTTTTGCTTGCTAAGCAAATGCTCTACCACTGAGCTAATCCCCAACCCCCTCACTAACCTTCCAATGTTGGTGTCCAGAAACCATTTTCCTATAAAATCAAACCAAAAATCTCCAGTTATAACTATATCTGTGCTGGGCGTGGTGGCATACATCTGTAGTCCCAGCACTTGGGAGGCAGAGGCAGGCAGATCTCTGTGAGTTCAAGGCCAGCATGGTCTATATAGTAAGTTCTAGGTCAGCTGGGACTATAGGACACCCTGCTTCAAAAAAAAAAATTACATCTGTGCCAGGCATGGTGGTACACACCTTTAGTCCCAGCACTCAGAGGTAAAGGCAGACATAGCTCTGTGAGTTCAAGGTCAACTGGTCTATATAGTGAATTCCAGGCCAGCTGGAGCTACAGGGAGACCTTGTCTCAAAAAGACCAAAAAAAAAACCTACATCTATAAGCTGGGCATGATAGTGCACACCTTTAATCCCAGCACTTGGGAGGCAGAGGCAGGTAGATCTCTGTGAGTTCAAGGCCAGTCTGGTCTACATACTACATAATGAGTTCCAGGCCAACTGGGGCTACAGGGAGACCCTGTCTGAATAAGACAAACAAACAAATAGATAAAGCTATATGTGTAACCAACAAACTTATGGTTTATTCATAAATAAGTTCATGGAAGAAAATGGAGGGGGCAGGTCTAAGACAAAGAAGCTCCCAGAGCTAGGGAAAAGAGCAGGATCCATCCAGCTCTCCACAGAGAAAAGTCAACAAACAAGGCTCTGGACTGATTTTACAGGGTTAGGATAGCAGAGCATTTCCAAGAGACCCAAGTAATGGCCATTACCCAGAATACCCATGGGCCAAGACCACCAGCAGCAGCTGCCCATCTCACTGCTACCTTTCTGCTCCTGGCTTCATGCCACTCTAGGTCCAATGACAGTTGTTCCTAGACCCACCCCACCTCCAACCCAGGCAGTAGATTGCTCTACCCTTAAACCCCTATTTTCCAAAGCAGAGGTTCCTCTCTTTTATTCTTTTTTTTTTTTTTTTTTCAATTTTATGTGTATGGGTGTTTTGCCTCGGTGTATATAAATGTAACTGTGTCATGTTTTGGCCCACAGAGAGCATCAGATCCCATGGAACTGGAGTTACAAACAGTTGTTAGCTGTCATGTGGGTACTGGGAACCAAACATGAGTCCTCTGCAAGGCAATCAGTGTTCTTAACCACTGAGCCATCTCTCCAGGCCCGGGAGGTATCTTTTGTATGAGTGCATCCAGAACGGATTCAATCTCCACCAGTTTTTTTGCATCCATTGAGCAGCTACTGAAGACCCAATAGGTTTCTGGCACTTTGTCAGCCTTATAGGCACCTTGCCTGTTACATTCACCCAGTGCTGGGTCATGCAAACCAGCATTCCAAGCCATCCAGTCATGGCCACACCAGAAGGTGGCCTGCTGGGTTCTGAGCCTAGTCTTTCCATGTGGTTGGCACTGGCCTCCTCATCCCACGCTATGTACTCACATACAGCATCAACCATATCATTATCTCCACATTCAGTGATGAGGACCAATGGAGGATCAGGGGCCCAGATGGAGATTGTAGGAGGTCCAAGCAGCACCAGGCTGACCTTGGAATCAGTATGGTACAAGTCAGCAGCCCGTAGCATTCCAGCCTGTACCTCCATGCCTGCATATCCTGACCGACCCTCCTGACATCTCTGAGTATTCACAGGCTTTCAAGAAGAAGCCACCCCAATGTTAGCACAAGAGCAATTTTGCAGTTCCAAAAATGAGCAAGGTCTTCTCAGAGCAAGCTTTTAAGAAGTTTGGGACAAAAGCACTGGATCCACACATGTGGAGCTATCCCAGGCCTGGAGGCAATACCAAGTTGCTCTTTAAACAGAAGCAGGCCCCTGACTTGAAGGAACTCCCAGGACTACTGGGCTCTATACTCCAAAGGGTATGGAAAGCAGATTGATCCAGTATGGAAAAGTTTTTATATTCAACTCTTGGAGTCTTTTGCTGGGTCCCCTGGATCAACAAACTCCCCAAGTCCCACATCAACCAAGAAATGAGAGTCACAGACCCTAACTACATGAGCCCCTAAAGAGCTCATGAAGTTTGCCTCTTCCTCTTTGAAAGCAAACTATCTTAAGTCTAAAACTGTTGTCCTCTGCACAAGGGACACAACTTGAAGATGAGGCTGGGCCCTACCTCAGTTGGCAGCAGCATCCCTCTGGGCTCCTAAGACTGAAATCCTTGCTTTCCTCTCTTGTTTACAGTTAATTAACAGGGCCATATGGATGGAGGTGATAATCACAGCCAAAGACTAATGGGGGGTGGGGGGGTTCCTGGTGGCAAGGATCCTGGGGGTGAGGGGAGCTCTTCCTACCAGTTTACCAGGTAAGAGCCTAGCACCCCACACTGTTGGTACCTCAGAGGATCTTGGACATCCCCTCAGCACCAGCTGGGTGCTCCCCTTCTAGGTTTGCCTCAACACCTTCCTACCTTTCATTCCCTTGGCCACTAGACTTAGAGATAGCCTCAGAAATGATTCTTTTTCTAAGTCGTTAGAATAAAATTCCTCACCTCCCTTTCCCAAAAGGACAATAAAAATCATTACTGTCATTATCATAATTACATTCACACAGTCTGATGCCCCAAGACTAAAGGCATGCAATCCTTCAGCTACTTATCTGATGTTTTGTTTCAGAAATTAAACCAACTTTATCAGCCAGTGATGTCCACTGATTCAAAAGTGATCCTAAGAAAGCCTCCGTGACTCAAAAAGCAAGCAATGAGCAACCATAACACTGAGACACAAACCTCACTATACTAGTTTATTTTCTTGATTTGTAAAGAATGTGAATCTCCTAGCACTTGGGAGGCAGAGGCAGGTGGATCTCTGTATAGTGAGTTCCAGGACAGCTGGGGCTACAAGGAGACCCTGTCTCAAAAAGACCAAAAAAATAAAAAGAATGTGAATCTCATAGACAGAACCCAGTACATACCTCTAGAGTGATCCTGTGGGTAACTACATCACTATGTTCAAAGCTCAAACTGACTTCCTGGTTTTAAATATGCAAATCCAGTTACACTGGCATTACAAACAACCACAAACCCCAACCCCAGAACCATGCACAAGGAGATTCTGAGAACAGCAATGCCTGAGTTCTCTGCCCATGGATCCATCTCCTCTCTCTCTCTCTCTCTCTCTCCACACACACACACACACACACACACACACACACACACACACACTCACACCCTAGGTATTTCTCCTGAAGTTTGGAAGTATGTGACACGAAGACAAAATGCTCCCAGGAGCATCTCTGCAGATACCTGGGGTGGGTGTCCCACAAGAGACAGCCGAGCTCCAAGTCCCTGCTTCAGACAGATCTGCTTATGAGGCCAGCATCCTCCCTAGAGCTTCTGGGTCCCATGGCCCAGGCACATCTGTGTTCCTCTTCCAGAAATTCGCATAAAGTTTCTTGTCTTGATCCACAGCATCCTGCTCCCTAATGCCTCTTCTATCTGACATACAACATACCCATGAGAATCTCAGAAATGCAGAGAAAGAGGAAGAACATTGAGTCCAGTCAGAAAGGGAGGAAAAGAGGCTCCTCCTTCAGAACAGTTTAAAAAGCCATCCCCCAAACTGCTTTTCCTGCAAAGAGAGCCTCTTAGAAATCCTGTCTGCTCTAGCCCTCCCCATCTCTATCCAAGGGGAAAAGCCAAGCCCTGGGTATCTGCCTTTGTCAGCGAAAGAACATAACATTGACTTACCTTTCCCCACAGCTATTGTCTGTCCTCTTTCAAAATGACATCACGGAAAGCAATCATGAAATTTACATGGGGGGGGTAGGGAGGACGGGGGAGGGGAAGGCAGCTGCCTCCCTCACCGCGGTCACGTGTGGGGAAGCCTGTGTGCGGGTTTCAATTAAATATCTTCTCCCCTTAGTGTGCGAACTCCTAAGCCAGCTAAAGGCGATGTCTCATTTACTTAATGACCGCTCTCATTAGCAGCGGTGGCACGGGCTGGCGGAGGAGGCTCCTTTGTAAATACGCTACCCATGAACCCTTGGGGCGCCAATATATCTGTTTACTCTCTGAGGTGAAATAAATTTACAGTATAGCATCAGAAAGATGGAGCTGCCAAATTGAAGGTGAGAGGTGATTCAGGTTAGTAGATATCCTGTTTAAAGTTCTGAGCTTCACTAATATAAGGTGCCCATATCTGCCTAAACAGATCTGCAAATAATAGGCAGCATGATTGGTTTTTTTCAGATGCAAAACACACAAAAGGGCAAGGAGCATTATGACAGCTATACTCACTCCCCTCTGCTTTCTATGCCAGTGGTTCAGTCCAATAATTCCTAATAGCAGCAACCAGAATGACAGATGCCCTGGGTTAGCATGGCTCTGGCGAAAGTGCTTTACAATATTTATTGGTGGTTAGGAATACGACCTCCCATCATAAAAAACGAACTGCAGAATTTATTACTTAAATGAACTAGGAGTATTACATATGGACTCATCTACATATTCAAGTACCAGAAATTTAGGTAGATGTTTTTGAGTTCATGAAAGATGCCTAAGGCCAAACACTAAAATGGTAAACTATACTCAGAAGGAACAGAACAGAAAAAGTTATTTTTCCTACTCTTACATTTATCTTTTTGTTTTAGTTTTTAAATAATAAAGCTCTCCCAAAGAATACTAAGAAATCCTTGAGCACCGATATCTTAACCCTAAAAACATAAATTTACTGTTTGCAAGGAGCTATCCCATGAACACTAAGAGAAAAAGCCTCTGGAACATGAACACACACACACACACACACACACACACACACACCTGCCTGTCAACTTCCTTATCTGCCAGTTCTCTATTTTCCTTACATTCCAGACTGAACACAGGAACATCCTCAAAAGACACCCAGGGTGCTCTTGTTTCTTTCCCAAATCCATTCCTCACACTGACAAATGAGAATCACAGTATCGGAAACTGCACTGGGGAACACAAGAATGAAAACTGAATTGAGACCCTGAGAAGACACCACCACTGCCACAGCCAAAAAGCAAAGCCCTCAGAGTTCAGAAGTTATCACAGTCTCTAATAGACAGCAAATATTGTTTCCTGGCAAGTCATGCACAGTGCCCTGCTTGATTAGCACCTACAGGCTTGGGCCGCCAAAAGCATGAATAAGAGGAAGAGTGTTAGCTTTTGCAAGGAAAGTAACTGGTGAGGAGCTTAGTGAATATCAACTGAAGCCCCTCTTTATGAGCAATTATTTCTACCATATAGCTCATGCTCTATACATTACACATAAAGCAAGGAGCCTCATCCCAAAAAGCAAGTATGTTATGTTCTTATATATACAAACACTGTCAACAAATAAAGTACAAAATGCATGCAGAGCATTTGTGTAGATCAAGCGAAAGGAGTCGGGGCGAGGGGGAGGGGAGAAGCAAGCCTTCAGTGGTCAAACAGGATGAAATACTAATTATCCCAGTGAGAGCATTCGAGGCTCCTACAGTGATTGCCTAGCATTTTCCTAGTCTTTCATGAATTTATATCCATTAGCATAAAAGGATACATTCGCTGATAGCACTCCTGAAAAGCCACCTCTATCTCCTCTGGACAAGCTGTCAATGCTGGATATTTTACATCCAAACCTTTGGCATTCAGAAATTCTATTAAAGTCTTATCAGCAGGATGCAGGCTCAGGATAGTACTGTGTACCGTTGTTCCAAGGAGAAGGTGGGATCAAAGGGAGGGCCCATGCTGAGTCAGCCTTACGGCCCAGCAGTACTGAAGGATCCAAGAAAACCATTTAATTCAGATACATAATAGTCAAACTTAAGGAATAACACAAAACAGAAGATAAAAGGAGAAACCAGTATGTGCAACAAAAAGTCCTCATGGAGCATCATTATTTTTTTGAGGGGATGGAAATTTTATTTGCACAAACTCCAGTCTGTCAGCATTGTGTATCTCTTTGAGTAACCATAAACTTCCAGAGGTTTAGCTCAAGGAGATCTAGAATATACTCCAGACCTTATCTGGGACTGCACTTAGAACATACAGGGAAACTTCAAATCAGGAGCCAGTCAGAACACAGGGCTGGCAGCCCAACTGGGAAGTTAGGCTTGTAGAGGGTTCTCAGGTTGGTTTGAGGAGTAAAGGTTGAAGCTCTTCAGCTGACAATGTCAAGAGAACAAAGAGGGAGTCCCTGAAAAGGAGGAAAACAGAAGATTTTGCCAGTAAGTCTTGGATTTGGTCACCTCTGTTCAGCACTGAAAGGAGCTGAGAGAGGGTGGAGGCGTGTTGTAGGCTGATCAGCACTCTGGACAGCGCTCTCACCCACGGAGCTGGCCTTTGTTTCCGAGAAGCCTGGAGTTTGCACTAGGTCCCCAGTTACCGATAAAGAGAGGCTATTCCAAACGCACACTCGCAACACAAACAGCTCCTGCTTGTGACAACAGCAAGGTATAATCTAAAACTTTTTATTCCCTTAAACAGGGTGAAAATTTTTCAGAATTTTTTAAAAGTCAAAAGAAAAAAAAATGATTGCACACAGTTGCTTTAAGCTTTGTTTCATAAAAATCTGTAGGGAAGTTATACGTGACTTTTTAGGTTTAGGAAGATACACAAACAACTTGTGTTGGGTTGGTGGGTCCACAGACTTCAAACGGGAGAGAGGGGAGATTTGCAAAGCCAAACTATGGCTGCTGCCTCAATCAGAAAGTGCTTTGTGTGTGCTAGGGGAGCAGACTTAATGGTTGCTTAACTGATAGGATCATTTCAAATAAGGTGTAATTACTTGTGCAAATCTGCACACAGACATTCCAAGTGTCAGTTCATTTGCTTCATAAAAACTCTTTCAAGTAATTTTGGTCTAAACTTTCTGCATCTGTAATTGGCACCACCTTCTCCAGTGACCAGCTGGGGGTGAGGTTTTCTTGTTTCTTTCTGAAAGCTTCCCCGCAGATGGGCGCCTGTCTTAATGCTGCCGGCGACAATTAGGGCGTTGTGTGCGCAGCCGAGATGGTCAGCATTAATATTGTATAGAACAGCTGAGGGCTGGGGGGCTCTGCCCCAGGCAGGCCCTGGCAGATGGAGCAAACAAAACTGGGAGCCACTTTACCGGGCTGACTTTGTGTGTTTATCTCACACTCACAACATTTGGCATCCAGCTTATGAGACTCTCACACTCACGCACTGCAACTGTGAGTGTGATGAGGACATGCCTGGCAGTCCCTTTGACACAAGAAGACAGGGTGGATGTCTCCACCCACATAAAGACAAAAGAAGCATCCATCCCTCACTTTCCCAGCCTCCTGGGTGAGGGCTGCTAACAACTGTCCTCATTTGGCCAGCCAGCAGACCTGAAGAGCAACTAATGTACCAAGAGGTTCACTGCCCACTACCCACCCCATCTCCAACCTTGGGTAGGCTGGGTGGCCTTCACAGGGATCTGTGCTGTCAGCCCCAGGCTGTCCCTGGGATCCCTGGCTGGCATTCAGGAGGAGTGCATGTCTGTCACTTCCTCGGCTGCCCAGAAAATAGCACTGAGCACTGACAGGGCATCCTGGCAGAACTGTGAACAGCCTGGGGAGGGGTGTGAGGGACTGGGGATAATACGCACCCAGGAAGCTCCCGCAGAGCGTCATCCTGGCCAGGTGGGTGAGCCTCCTCTCTGGAGCCTGGATACAAGTCACTTCATGCTGGAAAAAGTTGCTCCACAAACTTCTGTGTTCCAGGACCCTAAGAGTGCAGACCACAGTCAGCCAATCAAAAGAGGGAGTACATAATCACAAATTGATGCCGGCTGCCTGCCAATGAGGCACCCTTCCCCACACAATGGGCCTGAGGCCCAAACAATGAGCCCCGCCTGCAGGGCCAGAGCAGCAGAGTAAGGGAGGCAAAGACAGCCCCCCCTCCTTATACTGATAGACCAACAGTGAGGGAGGGAATGTGGCTGTGGTTGGACTGTCAAACCAGATCGAGCCTGCATCCTGGTAGGAACCAGTCACCTATGGGGGGGGCGATTTTCTGGGATGTCCTTCACCTTGCCCCATATATGGGCTAGCTCACTGCCCACTGAGGTCCTTTGGAACAATGAACTTGGACATGACAGGTATTCTCTTGCCTCCCCAGTACTGAGAAAACAACAATCTAGGTAGACACTAGAGTGATATCCAGACACTCCTTTCTCCCAGTTCATGGTTAACACCATTCTGGTCACTTCCAGTTCTGGGCAATGTCTGTTATGAGGGTGAGGCAAGAGGACAATCAGAATTCTGGAGGAAGCAAATACAGATCAAGCCTGCCTTTCATATCCCTGGGACCGCAAGCAAACTTTTAATGCCTGCATCCAAAGTGAAGGCAAATGGCATGCAGTGGACAATCAGGAGCAGTCCAGGGAGGTAAGAGATAATGATTCCTCCCAAATTGTCAGATGTCCTGGGGGAAGGACCAGGCTGCTGGTCATCTGTGGTGATAAAACTAAGAGAAGGCCATGTTGGAGCCTGGAGTTTCTGAGCTGTTGTGTGGTTTGGGCTGGGCTTTTAGGAATGTCTGGGTATTTGTTAGTCGCAAAGGAATGAGGATAAACCTGGGCTTTGGCAGCTGATCTGAAGCTGGGGTTGGAGGTGGGCTGGAAACAAAGGTGAGTCATGTTGCTCAAAGAAGAGAGTAGGAAAGAGTGTTGAAGCTTGTTAAAGTGCCAGAAAGAAGACAAAGAGAGGTGGGGGCAGGGGACAGAAAAGGGTAGGGAGGAAATGAGGGCAGTGAGGAAATTGGAGGAGGGGAGGAAATGGTGGTGGGAAAAGCAGAGGGAGAAGGGAGAAAATTGGGGTCATGAGGGTATGAAGACAAGAGGGAACTTGAGGGCTGGGGGAGGTGAGGACACGAAAGAAATTGGGAACACAGGGAGGGGAATGGAGCAAAAGGGAGAATATTAAGAGCCTAGGGGAAATGGAGAGGGGGCCAGGAGGAAGTGGGAACAGGAGGGGAAATAGTGTTAGGGATATGGGAAGCAGGAAAGGGTGAGGAGCAAAGGGAAGAGGAGGTACAATCAGAAACAGG